GAATAGAGTTCGCTGTGGGAGAGCTCAACGGGGACGTAGGACAAGTTATTTGTCTGAACCTCGGTCAAACAATTGATTGTGTTCTTGTTGATTTCTTTTCTGAAATTAGTTTTGTTTTGAGTTTGGTGTTGGCGATTATCTAACATAGACCATGTCTTCTGAACACATTTTAAGTCGTAACAAGGATTCGGGAGGCAGCCATGACAGAATTTCCTCCAAAATATCTTCACACAAATCAGAAAACTTTGCCATATGTATTTTCTGCCTTAAATGAAGATTAAAATTCAATTAAAGATATTCTATAGAATGAAAAAAGCATAGAAAATTGCTAATATATCAAATACATGTATTGTTGAACATTTAAATGCCACATAAATTGTTAGTGATATTCTATAAATATATATGTGCCACGATTCACATTCTGTTAACAATCAAAACTTTGTCCCGTGTGATCAATTTTTTTTTCTCCCATGAATTCTATATCAAGAACTTTATATCTAGCACCGTGTATATACAAATACATGAAGGATTTGGATGTAGAATTTCCCAAAAAGTACTGAAAGGAAAAGAGAGAAAGAGGGGATCTCATGCGAAGGCGAAGACGCGTTCCTTCTACGGTGTCTTCATCTCTGTACATTATTGCGTTCCTTAGTCTCTCTATTTGTGGTGATTGGATTGGATTCAGTGATTTTTTTTTTTTAATGTTGGGGCTTTGTTTCCGTTTAATGGTAGATGTTTTGATTAAAATAAAGGCGGAGGTGTTTCCGCTCTGTTGGTTTTGTCTTTTGATGTTTTTGAGTTTTGTTTTGTAATAACGGAAGTAGTTTTCCCAACTTTTGATTGTGGTAATATATTCAATCTGTAGGAGTTTATTCTTTGCGGTGTTGTGTGTGTTTATAGTGTGGATGGTGGCTTTTACACTATAGTGTCGTGGTTCTTAATCGTTGGGATGCTTCTTTCAATTATTGAGGTCTTGTCAAAAAGAGTATTATGTGAGCTCGTTTTTTGAATTGTACTAATAGAACTGGTCTCCATCAGGAATTATGCCCTGTATTGCAAGGTTATTCACATTCTTCTGCAGTACTTTATTATCTTGAAGAACCAAATGCGGCAAACTTAAGTAGATTTATATAACAATGTAAAAGAAAGCATATTTATATAGACAAGCATTTTTATTTTTATAATATATTACTAATTTATCATTTGGAAGCACCAGCTCAATCTCAAAAACCACCCAAAAAAATAAAAAAAGCAGATTTACATCGATAAGGAGTTGCGGCAAAGGTAATCCCAAAATATATTTTTTTATATAGCAGATTTCTGAAAGATAAGGATTTTTTTTATGAATAAATACAAGGTAAACATTTGTAAGCACCAACGTGGCAAACTTGTGAATGGCAACAACAGATGTCAGCGTTGTAAAGCAGTCCAAGTTTGAATTGAATCGAAGCAAGAACCAGCAATGGAATATCATTCTCAATATCATTAGCATTTCACCGAACAAACAGAAGGGAAAAAAATCTCCCAAACTTCTCAGTTCAAAATCTTTGCTACCCTAAACATGCAATAATAATAATACTAATACTAATAATAATAATCATCATCATCATCATCATAATCATAATAATAATAATAATAATAATCATAATAATCATAATCATCATAATCATAATAATCATAATTATCATAATTATCATAATAATAATAAAACAATATGAACACTTCACTTCATAGTCCTTGAATCATACTTCAAACTCTCGTCATATCCTCAATAATAATAATAATAATAAAACAGTATGAACACTTCACTTCATAGTCCTTGAGTACTCTCATCATATCCTCTCCGATTTAAATTTTAAGCATCTTTTATTTTATTAATTTAAATTTTTAATTTTAATTTTATTACGGTTAAAAATTTTCATAAAAAATTACATTTAATTTTTTTATTATAATTAAAAAATTATAATATAAAATAATATTTTAATTTAAATTAAAAATTTAAATTTATAAATTGAAAGAGACCTTAAAGATGCCAAAAGTTTAGACACCTCAACTTCTTGTCAGCCATTTTCCATTTGAGAGAGTTTGCCAAAACTTTAGAGTCCCTCAAAAGTCATTTTCCGTCTGAAACTGTCAGCCACAGCGTATCTTTTAGCATCTGTTTGAGGGATCGATGAATTTGATCAAAACCCTTTTGGTCCTTTTCCCTCATCGTCTCCACCGTTTGCCATTGTGTCGAATCAGTGTGGTAATCAATACCAAAAGAAAGTTGTTAATAATTTCAGAATAAGCCTAATCAAGAAATGAAAGTCATTTGAACCAAAAAAAAAAAAAAGGTTGTAATGAATAAGTCCAATTAAGAAATGACTTTGTTCATTTCACGAATTCAAGTTTTCAGTTTTAAATTTTTACTAGAAAAATATTTTTAAAAAATGTCACATCTAACTTGTTTTTGTTATAGTTAAAAATTCTCAGTAAATATCACATCTCAATTCGAATTAAAAATTTAAATCTGCAAAGTGAAATAATGATCATTTGAAAAAAAAAAAAAAAAGGTTGATAACAAGAAAGTGAGTAACATAAATTTTGCAAAAGAGAGTGTTGTACACTATATATAGTACGATCTAAAATATGTCGAACCAAGAAAGTGTGATAACTAGTGTGACAACAACAAACCAATCGAGTAACAAATATGAATTAATGTCTGTTGCCATTGGAACAGGTGCAAATTGAAAAAGTAGCGCAATATTTAAGATCTTTTACCCTTGAAACGATGTAACAATAAACTATTGAATCAATTCAACAACAAACAATATTTGATCGGCATTATATCGACTATATATAAATTAAAAGCAACAAGCGAATTTAAATGTTTTACTTTTGAAGTTATGTACGTAATCTTTTTATATTTGAATCAATTCAACAACAGACGATGTTTGATCGGCATTACATATATCAAATATAAATTAAAAGCAACAAGCAGATTTAAGGTCTTTTGCCTTTGAATCTTGAAATCTTGTTGTGAGGAACTAAAGCGGTTGCTTTCTCCTTTCTCGCAAAGGAAGAGACTGTAATGAATGAATGAAAGTTTATTACACGGGTCGTTTATAAAGATAGAGAGACTACCAAATTTAGAGGGATTATATACAAGGATTTTACTTGCACATGATAAGCGATCTGTTCTTCACAACACTTACAGAAATAAATAAGTCAATATAAGTAAAAGTGTAAGAATCTTCCACGTATAATAACAATAGAACCTAAGGTCTCGTTTATTTCACCGATTTGAATTTTTAATTTTAAATTTTTACAGTTAAAAGCTCTAAAAAAATGTCATATCTAACATTTTCTATTACAGTTAAAAGCTCTCAGAAAATGTCATATCTCAGCTTGAATTGAAAACTCAAATCTGTGAAACGAACGAGGCCTAAGTCTTGTCAAAATATAAGAAGGGTTAAGTCTGTTTGCTATATTATATAACAATTGGTCACGCTTTAACTCGTGCAAAATGTGATCATATTGGACAAATTTCAGAACCATATGTCCCGCTGGTGATGTTGTAATGTACCTATTAAGCAACTGAAATATGCTCTTTATATAAACCTTCAGCATGCGCAAAGTTGCCTTCATGTTTTTCTTTTTTTTTTTTTTTTGGTTAAGGTATGTTATGTTGCTAGTACTTCAGGAATAATATATTCAAAGAGTTATTTTCTAACCAAAATAACTTTAGCACTTCAAACAGAGATATTTGGGGCTCTCCATCTGAATCGCATGGGAGAGTTTTCTGAAAGAATTTTCAAGAAAAATAAGACCCGTTTGTTTCATATATTCAAATTTACAGAAAATTAAAAAATGAAGAAGCATCTAAAAAAAATAACGTTGTATATAAATATTTGGTTCAGGTTATATTCATTTATTGTCTAGAATATATACCATGAGTAATTGAAACAAAATCTGGAAATATACATGGCTACCAGCTATATTATTAAGGAATTTATGCCATAAATAAAAAAAATTAGCATAGTTTAGAATAGCAATATACATTATTATACATATACTAAAGGAAAGGAAAGATTTTACTGTTTACTGAAAAAAAAAAAAAGGGAAATAAGTAAGAAGATATAATAATATGTGAAATTTTACGTTAAAATTTACAGACTCAAATAATAAAGTTATAAAAATTACGATAAACTTGTGATGAAAAAATACGATGAATCATTTACAAATTCTAACGTAAAATTCATAAATTATCGTATTCTTTTAAAATTTACAAATTTACGATAACTTTTACAACTTTATCGTTGAAATTTATAAATTTTAACATAAAATTTCTCAAATAATCATATCTCCCAATATGGTGCTGGAAGTTTTTCTCCCGACACCATTAAAGGACCCCTAGTTAGTTGAAAGATACAGTGATGAGCATCACCATTAGTGGTAATGAGAATTTTCCTTCATTAGAGAACAAAACCTGTTGAGATTTTCATATGCCACTTCTCAGTTGAAATAGAAGTGAAAAGAAATAGTGAAGACCCCGTTTGCTTCGTCAGTTCAAATTGGTGAATTTAAACCTAGAAAAGTTTATTTGCGTATGAACCTATCTTTGGGTTTTCCGTGGTTTAAACTGACTTTTGCTAGTGTAAGGTTCAGACTGAAAGTAAAGTTTGAATCAACGTTTGGTTACAACAGTAGAACTATATGTTTTTAAAGAATTGTGAGTGAAAATGGTTGGTGAAAATCTTTAAGATTGTTCTTTTAAAGTGTAACTTGAGTGTAATTTTTAAGTTAAATTTGAGTTATAACTTGAGTTAAAGTTATAATTTGAATAAAGTTGAGTAAAGTTAAAACTTAAAAGAACATGAACTTGAATAAAATTGAAACTCGAGTTGTATTTTTTGAGTTTTTTGGACAAAAAAACAACCCCTTAGAGTTAGGTTTTTAAACAGTGTTTTGGTTTAGACCTTAAAACCAACCGAAACCTTCCAAACAAACAAACGGGCTAGAAATCTAAACCAAAAAACGTCAAAGAAAATATCGATAATCTTTTGATACAAGCAGATGAATGGAAAAAAAAAAAAAATTAACTACACAGGAAGCTCCCAAGATGCCCGCTTATAGAAAAACAACAAGACTAAACAATCTCATTGCCAGACAACACGTTCACAGAACTCTATGGGTTCACCTTCGCAACTTTCTTCCTCAGCAGGTGGTGCAAGTCAACTGCATTGATCTTGGCAGCAAGTATGAAGTCATTCTCAGTCAATCCACCTAAAAAAAATGGAAAAGATATCGAAATTCCATCTCTTTTCCGCCGCAAAAATTGCAATGACAAAGAAAAATATTGATCCTCGAACATAATGACTTCGAACGTTCTAAAGGCAGTTCCCTAATCTAGAAGTTTGTTATTGTTAAACATGATCAAGCAATTCAGTTAAGAAAATATGAAGCATATATTGAGCTCTACTCTAAATAACATTAACGAAATAATAGTTTAGTTCAATGCAGGTCAGTCAATGGCGGTAGGCCATTTTGCGGATAATTGAGGTGAGAGATTCAGTGGATTTCGCCACTATATATATATATATATATGTGTGTGTGTGTGTGTGTGTGTGTGTTTTTCTTTCCTTCAGGGAAAAGTTATACAAATTATTCAGAAATAGTCCAAAATATACCAATATGGATATCCGTTATCCTCTACGGCCCATTCTAACCCTTAATCACCTTATCGGATTTATCCGTCCAAATCTACTCAAAATTAAATATCCTAGAATCATGAGAGTTGCCAACTTTTGGCAGAACAGTCTGAACCCTGATGGGAAGGAAAGAATACAGCATTCTACAATACTGATACCTTATTGAAGAGGTTCAGAAACTGCATTCTGCAATACCTGATACCTTATTCAAGAGGTTCAGATCAGTAACATAGCACAGAACTCTCAGACATAATTTTAGAGTGAAATCAGTTACACCACTATACAATGTCAAATTAGATATACTCAATGACGTAGGTGTTCAACTTAAAATTTGTGTTTAACAATCACTTCCAAGTCGGGTTACTAAATAAAACCATTATACATGAAAAATTATAGAACCCGAAACCACAAGAAACTATAAATCAACAATATATGGTTATCACAAAAATAGAAAAACGAACGAGGAAAAAAATTGCTTGATTAAGGGCTAATGCTTACCAACTGAATGTGTCCAGATCTCAATAGTGACGTTGTTCCATCCAACGAGGTGAAGATCTGGATGATGATCTGCGCAAGCACATTTACATAAACTCCACCATCTTCAATGAATGGGCACCACTCATGAATGCTCATGTACATGTGCCATGTATCAGAAAAGAATGAAAGTTCAAATACCTTCAGCTTCTGCAACATCAGCTACAAGCTTGAATAATTCCAATCCTTTAGTGAAACTCTTCACCTTCCATGACCGAGACAGTTTCATTGGACCATCATCAATTATAAGGTTCCATCCATCCACCTAAAGAATGTGCCAAAACTAAAGACTTAAGAGAATATCCTTGGATATGATTCAGGTCTACAAGACTTTCAACTACAAACCCGTGTAATCAGGTCTTTTGCTGCTTCTTCAGTCATGGGTCGCAAATCCTTTGCATTGCAGGGCACACACTTCTTTGCTGACAAATCTAACATTGCAAACAGACAGGGTCAGATAGAAAAAAAAAAAAATCTTCACATTCTCTACAGAGTAATAGCAACAAGAGCCAATATCTTGACGAAAGCTAGACAAGACACAATGGACAAAGTACGGCAAACGATCATGAATCCAATTTTCTATTCTCAAAAACAATAATTAAATTACAAAAATAAGTTTTCACGTGGGATTACACCCGGTTATCATATCACAAGTGGCTAAAGCTCTAACGCACCTTGGCCAGTGCAAAAGGTTCTAAACAGACATACTGACTTTCTACTTGATGACACGCCCACACTGCCATGAAGTATGTCAGGTAATCGGCTAGTGGAACTGTATGTAAGTACAAAATAGATATACACAAGAAGATTACTTATCTCCAAAACGGAGAGCGCAAAGCTAAATGAAAAACAGTTAAAAAATTAAACGGCAAAAAATGGTAGATTCAAAGTTGTCATATTATTAAAAATAATGCGGAAAAAAGAAAAGCACGTGGTATGATGTAAACTTGTTTTTGGTAATGCATAACATTATACGATAATAATCTTAAAATCTCAATCCAAGTATCTAAAGACAACAATATTGTTGTTCCAAATGCTATATGGCCGAACGTTCGGGGGTGACGCGTCACTGATAAAAGGAATGCGGTGGTCCTGGTCCCTTGGAGGGGGCAAGTCCGTTGGAGCTAGAAAAAGGGTGCCAAATTCATGGATGAGGCTCTGCAACCCTACCAGCACTGAGGAAGGGGGGCTAGGGTCCTCCGGTTGGATTGCTTGTAGTTCCACAAGTGCTCCCTGTTCAGCTTGCAGTAACATCTTCATAATAGCCTTAAGAGGGGCTTGTTGTTTGGTGTAAGCTGGATTGCCGTGGAAGGTGACCAGTTGGCCCTCAATGGAACACTTCATTGTGAGTTGCTGCCAATTAAAACAAACATCCCCTAGTGGTTTCATCCAAGCCACGCCCAAAATCACTTCCGGCACGCCTAAGGGAAAAGGGAAAAAATCTTGAGTGATACAAACCCCTTGTATGTCCAATGGAAGGCTTTGGCAGATCCCGCTTCCTCCTTGTCGCACTCCATCCCCCATCTTAACTTGAAACGGCTTTGTGGGAGTTACCGGTAAACCGAGCTCCTCCACTAACCGTCGCGAGATAAAATTGTGCAAGGCTCCTCCGTCGATAAGGACCATGAATTCTCGTCCCTGTACGTTCCCTTTTAGCTTCAAGGTTTGGTTGCCTGTTATCCCCACCAGCGTTATCCCCACCAGCGAGCTTAAGGACAGCTCCATTCGGGCATTCTCAATACTTTCTTCCTCCCATGTTGCGTTCTCAGTCAGAGGTTCCTCTTCTTCTTCCTCGGTCTCAGCAATGATCATCACGTTGAGGTGTTTATTCACACACCGATGGCCGGGGTGAAACTTCTCATCGCAGTGGAAACAAAGACCCTTCTTTCTCCTCTCTTGGGCTTCGGCTTCTGTCAAACGGCGGTGGAAAGGGTCTTTTCGGCGTGGAAAGGGTGTCTGAGTGGTGTGGTTCGAAGGAGTGGAGGGTGAGTTGTGGAACGACAGTGGTTTCATTCCCTTGTTCACTGCCACTTTAGGATTAGGGGGAACACGTGTTGGCTCTGGGGTCTACATGGGCCACGTGACAGCCTCCACCGACCCATGGCTTTTCTGAGTATTCCACGTCTTTCCTCTTCTGAATTTCTGTTCCCAAGCCCGGCCCAATTCCCAGTTCTTCTCCTCAATTCTCTAGGCCACTTCCATCAGGTCCAGCAAGGTTGGTGTGTGGGCCAACCGTAATTCGGCCCGAACTTCCGTTCTCAGCCCATGGAGGAAGGCTCCTCTCATGGACTCGTCGGACGCCTCCAGTAGCGGTGCCGACAGCCTCTCAAAGTGGCCGCAGTATTCTCCCACGATCCCTGTCTGCTTGATGCTCATGAGCCCCTCGTATTGGTTGCCTGCCATGGACGGTCGAAAACGCCGAAGCATGGTGGACCAAGTGCGTATCAGAGCACGCGCCCCCAGCCACTGAAAAAAATCCAGTGCTGCTCCATCGAGGTGCATGGCGGCAGCAGCTAACTTCTCTCCCTCCGGCGTACTATTGACGTAGAAGAATTGCTCTGCCTTAAAGAACCACGCGTGTGGTTCGTCTCCTGTGAAAAACGGCAGCTCTAGTTTCCGAGGACTTGCAACCCCTGCTCCTGTCATAATTTCCGGTCGTTGGTGAGCTCTCACGCCCCCCTCGCAATCCACTATGGAACTCCCTCCGATCTCTCCTGGGGATGAGGACGAATCTGCCTGCAACTTCCCTTTCTCCATTGTCAGTTTCGCAACGACAATGTCATGCAACTGCGAGAACCCAGTCTGCATCTTGAGCATCATTTCTCACATGGCCGCCATGTCTGTCTGGTAGTTCGTCATTCCCTCTTCAATGACGCTTCGGTTTTTCCCTACGATATCAAGCCTTCCCTCCATTCTCGTGTTTCCCATACCCAGGTATCGACGCTCTGATACCAAGTTGATGAGTACCGACCTGCAATGAACAATTCCTAGCAGCTAACACACACCAAAGCTAACCAAACGCAAGAGATTAATTGAGAAAGGAGAGCTGAGAATGTCTCAGAGCCCTCAATTGGTATTAGCTATGGAAGCAAAAGAAATTACAAGTCCCACAGCTTCGAGGCACTGCTACCTCCACCCACTAATTCCTTACCTCACTCCTAGCATCTAGCCCTTTTATTCATGATTCGGTTAGGCCACTAATATAATTTCCCATGTGACCAATCAACAAGTGACACCTGTATCTTAGGTATTTGGGCCCCTCTTGGGCCTCCTGGAGTACACATTACCAAACCGAACGTTCCTAACATATTGACTTTGGAAACTCCATCTACTCATAAAATCCTATCTATACCAGTTTCTTCATGACGGCTTAGATATGAGTATGACATTTTTTTTTAATAATTCCATTTGAGGAAGTACAGAATACAGAAATTTCTGCCAAAAAAACAAAAACAAAAACAAAATCAAAATGAAGATATAGATTCCATTTTCCGCAAAATATTAGAAACCAAATATCAATTCCTAAGGAAATAAAACATTGAACATAATAGTGCTCTCGCTATTATCCCTAATACAAAAAATTGAATTCTATAAATCAGAAACAAACACAAGCACCTAATGTTCGTCAAATTTGATTTGATTTTTTTTCCTTTTTTTTTCAATATCCATTCTCGCTGTTTATATCAATCGCTTTAGACACGCAAAACACATAAAAGCAACTTAACTTTCAATCAATATATATTTATATGTATATACTCTAAAGTTTGACAAAAATGAAAATCAGTACCGTCCATGTGCTCCGAGCAAGCTTTGAAACACGGATGTCAATGGCGTCTGAAATGAACAGATAGAAAACCATGAAAGAGACGGAAATGAAGGAGAGAACATAGAGAGAGAAAGAGAGTTTGAGTACCTTAGGTTTAGAGAGAGAAAGAAGAGAAATCTGTAATATCCGAGACATACCTTATAATTACTCTAAGAAAGTGAAAGAAAGGAGCTTTGTTTTGCTGATAAATTTCACTTGTTTTGGAAATTCAAAAAATGACGTGTCCTCTTTCTGAGTGAAAACGTGGAGAAAGATCGTGCGTTCTCGAGTACATGTGGCATATCCAAGGTGTGACTGTGAGGGTTACATTTGGAAATTTAAATAGTTAGGGGGTTAAATTGACAAATAACCGTTTTTGAGGGGCGGGATCGGTAAAATTGTATTGTTTAATTCCGAGAAGTGAAACGCAAAAAATTTGCGAAATTTCGCAGGCGTTGCTGCTGGGAAAGGCTCTGCTCCAACCAGAGTCCAAAACATTTTCCTGGAAAATTTATTACAGAAAGAAAGCAAACATGGTCAGTTTCTTTCGCACTTTCTTTCTCTCCAAACAGATCTTTACTTTCTTTTTTGTGTTATTTCATTTCTACGTTCTCGTTCTATTTTCTGTGGAAAAGCCTTGGCTATTTTGTTCTTAATTTTGGTTTTACTGTGGGTTTTGGGATGAATTCTGAGCCTCGGTTTCTGTGCAAATTAGATTTATACATTTTAATGGTGTAGATTAGGGTTTTGGCGTAGATCTGAGTCTGAAATGAAGGCGATCTGGATTTCTAATGCTTCACGGTCATTTTATTCGGATTTAATTTTTGCTTAGACCTAGATCTTGTGAATTCTTTGGAGTTAGCGAAACGCATGCTCTCAATGATCCACATATTTACTTGTGAATTATCACCTATCGATATATGTTTGTGTATTATATTACTAGGCATATCCACATTTGTTGAAATTGGAAGCTGAAAAATCGAATTCTGAAAAGATATTTTGCTTTATACTCAGGAGCTTGTTTAATCACGTTTTTATTTGTATCAGTTTTGGCAATTCTTGCCTCATCTGCTTCAAATTGAACCCAATGATTTGTCAGCTATAATCAAACTTTTGATTCTTTATAGGGAGCTATGAGCTTGAAGCCGAGTTATCTGTTATCATATGGAATTCTGTTCTGGATTTGTTGATTTCGATTGTAGTATATTTTAAGGTCTCATATAATGAGATATTTATTTATTTCTTTCTTTCTTTTTTTCAAACCCGATATGTTCCTGTTCTTTCATGATCAGTTCAGTTCGAAAACCTCGAGGGTTACTGCAGATATAATTTACAATCAACTTAGGAGTTTGATAGATGCAATCTATATAAGATGTATACGAGTAAACTTTCGCATTCTTCTGTGTTTTAAGGTTACTGATCAGATACCACACTTATCACATCACGAGTTATCCATGCAACAAGAACACATAATTATCTAATTACGTAGTAAGACTAAAGTTTTCATGTCAGTTCCTTTGGAAGCCAATCTTTTTGGAGTTGCAATGCTTGACCATTAAGCCTGCCCAATGAATGGGGTCTCTAACCATTTAGGGGGCGGCCCTGCTATTTTTTTTTCTTGTTATAAGTTTGAGAATTGGAATAAGTTGTTCCATTTGGGTGATTTACGATCCAGAATTTGAAGATCTCCAAGTCTTCCTTTGGTTCTTATTTTTCTAAGGCATGTTTTGCAGGAGACTTGCCCATCTGTGAAAAACATTCTCCTCCTCGATTCTGAAGGGAAGCGCGTCGCTGTCAAGTATTATTCAGATGACTGGCCAACAAATAGTGCAAAAGAAGCTTTTGAAAAATCTGTATTTACCAAGACCCAAAAGACTAATGCACGGACCGAAGGTAACTTTTCTTTCTTTTACTTTTTTGTCCAGGTATTAGGTATTTCTGTCCCTCGCCTTTCGAATGTGCTTCTAATAATATTGTTTCTGGCCTTTGATTATGCTCATGTGAAGCATCTTGTACGTGTTTAATATCTTGTATCTCTTTGTCTTGCTTCTTGGTGTTGGTTCCTGAACAAGTTTTCTTCAACATGGATAGCAAAATAAGTTGCCAGTTATTTGCTTAGTTCATTCACCATCTATAAACAAGTTTTGCATACCTGTCTTTTCCTGCTTGAATATGCATGGTACTTGCACAAACTAGCTGGCATCCTATGGGGGTTTGTGGTGGACAGACAGACAATTAGCGATTGAAATTGTAGGCTAGTAAGATTTTTAAAATGTTTTTGTGATTATTAGACAAGCATTGTGCAATGTGCATATCATTTTAAGAAGTATCATATTTTACTGTCTCATTGTTCTTTATGGTTGAGGAATGTAACATTGGTGTATTGCTTCCCTAAACTATGATTCTCACAGCTTTCATGTTTGCTACTGTCGACAGCGGAGATAGCAATGTTTGAGAACAATATCGTTGTTTACAAGTTTGTTCAAGACCTTCATTTTTTTGTTACTGGAGGAGAAGATGAAAATGAGCTCATCTTAGCTACAGTTCTTCAGGGATTTTTCGATGCAGTTGGCTTTCTCCTTAGGTGTGCCCTTTTCCAGTTCCATATTCCCGTTCCTATACATCTGCTATTCATGAGTTTTCAAATATCTCGTTCCTTAAGTCATTAATTATTTAATATTAATATATACATTTGTTCCAGAGGCAATGTAGATAAGAAGGAGGCACTTGAGAACTTGGATCTCATTCTATTATGCCTTGATGAAATTGTTGACGGCGGGTATGCAATATTCCTTCTCTACATTCAGTATTTGAGGGACCCTCATTCAGTATTTGTAGTCTCTCTGTGAAATTTTGCATAGAACTTACGTGAAAAATCAATCCCCCACGGCCCTTGAAAATGGCAAATCCCAGACTCACTTATTTTTTATTTGTGCAGCATTATCCTCGAGACTGATGCGAATGTTATCGCTCAAAAGGTGGCAAGTCACAGTATGGATGCAGGGGCGCCATTGTCTGAGCAGGTATGTAGTTTCTCTCTTCTGAATTCTCCCACTTTCAGTCTCTTTCATAAGAAGGGAGAAAGAGGAGCTAAGCACGAAAACGAATTATGCAAACAAAATAAACTCCGTTTTGCTACCAATCTTTTATCCTTTTTCTTTTTGCAGACAATAAGTCAAGCATTGGCAACTGCTCGTGAACATCTAGCAAGATCCCTTCTTAAATGAGAACCGTGAGATGTGTGGAGAGGACCAAGGAGGGTGACCAACTCTGTTTTTGCATTTTCCAGTTCCATCATATTTGATGTACTATATTCTTCATGAGAACCAAATGTGTTATATGCCATTACTTGCGATGCTGCTACTTACCAATATTAGAGTTTCATTTCTTGTGATAGCATTATCTGATTTTGCTCAATTTTATCGTCTATTGTAAACTTGATTGGACACAGAAAAACACAATGGTCAAAAAGTTCGAAATTATAAAGGTTCTGACTTGAGGTTTCGTGAGACCTTTGACGTGTTTATGCACTTACGGTTGGCAAGTTGCAATAGTTTTTTTTTTTTTTTTGGGTGTTATTATATATGCGTGAATATATATGTAGTGCTGTATTGATGTTACTGTTATAGTAAAAAGCTCTTAGAAATAATCACATTTATCTTTTTTGTTACAGTAAAAAGTTCACATAAAATCATATCTCAATTTAAATTAAAAACTCGAATCAGCAAACTAAACGAAACTTATTTCACTAACAACAATTTTTTTTCTTCGGGCTGAGAGCAGTTTCTCTTTCTTTTTTTTTTTTTTTCCGTATGCAAGCAGTTTGTATAAATTCAAATCATGCAGTATTGACTAGGTTAGTATCCTATTCATGGATCTAAATGGATTACTTGAGTTAGAGGGTTGAATTGTAATTTAAACCTATGAAGAAAAAAAAAAAAACAAGCCCTTTATAACTACCATTTTTAAAAAAACCTAATTAGAGGAAGAAAATCACTAAGCAATAATTTTCTCTTTTTTCTTTTCAGACGAGAAGAACAAACAAACCTTTTATTTATTATTATTATTATTTTTTTTTCCGCTTTTGAGGGAACTACAAATAAACTTAGCATTGATCATTGTCAACTGAACATACTAAAAGAAAAGAAAAATCAATAGGACTTTGGTCGTTACATCTTTCATTAGTGTATGAAAGCACCACTCTTCATGTCTGAGGGTTTCCTTGGTTATTAAAGGATAATGATGAAACATGAGTTATTCGAAGTCTTACAACCAAAACATGGAATAACAATAATATAACATAATTAGATTTTCAAGCGGCACAATAATAATTAAATTGGCATTTCAATTAGAATAATATACTAGCTTTCTTTTCCTCTTTTTTTTTTTATATATTTTGTTTCTTTTGTTTTTTTCCTTCCTTTTTTTTTCCCTTTGTCTTCTCTTTCAAGTGCAGATTGTTATTATTCTTCTGAACAGCTCCTTCTCACTATTATTGCTCCTAGAGTAAACCAGATTTCCACCCATCGATCAGGTTGACGTACGATGAGTGTCATCCTCTTCTGCTACAGTCTCTTGGTGTCTTTCCCACTACATAGTAATTAGCCAAAAAAAAAAAAAAAAGGTTCCCTTTAGACATTTGCCTCTTTATGTTTAAACAGGAAGTTAGAAGTGAAGACCACTCACTACTCCCTAGCTAGGGACTCAGTTGTCTAAAAAGAACTTATAATGATCAAAATCTCCTCACTGAATGAGAACATAATCCGCATCATGAGCAAATAAAATCACCAGCAGTTGGGGGCAAAAAATGTTCACTTCAAACATTGCCTTTCAACAGGAAGTCAGAAAGTGTAGACCAGTCGTGACTCACTAGCTAGCGACTCAGTGGTCCAAATTCACTTTAAATGATCAAACTAGTCTCATTGGATTAGAACATAATCCGCGTCATGCGCAAATAAATCAGCAGCAGTTGGGGGCAAGTTATTCCGAGAAACGTTTTTACGAACCTGGGCATGAGTTTCTGCCTCATGCTGAAACATCTTAACCAATTCTTGGAGCTCCAACTTCCTAACTTCAACCTGCTGTCCAGCCACAGGATTTTTTAGTCCAAGATAAACCAGCCCAACCACAATTAGGATGATTCCCAGACAGAAGAGGACGCCTGAGAAAAGACCAAAGGCATATGGCGTATTCTCAGCCCCAGGGATTCCATCAACATTGATTCCAAAGAGCCCGGTGATTATGGAAAGAACTAGACCACAGCCCCCAAAGACCGCCAAATTATGCGTCACTCTAAGGCTTCTGTCCTGCATGAATTAAGAAATGAAACGTAACAATAAATGTATGATCAGCTTCGTCGAATACCATTTATTAAAAAAAAAAAAAAAAAAAAAAAAAACTAAACTTACAAGATTTACCATTTGTGTACACGAACCTGTAACCATGCGCGGACAGTGCTCTGCATTACATCCTGAATAGTAAACAACCGGCCACGAACAGCTTCTTGCTCCTCGATCATTTCTCTTGTACTCTTTCTGATTCCTTCTAGCAAGCTTTTTGCGGAAATTCCTTTCAAATGCTGGAGAAGCTCAAAGATGATCTCTTCTCTTGCATGAAGTGACCACTTCACTCTGATAACCTGCAACCAAACTGCAACATTAGTGAACACGTTAAGTATATCATGCTGCCCCTTCTAGTATATCCTATATTATTGGCAGAATCTACAAACTTTACAGTCAGGGTGATTTTAGAATTCTAGCATATGTTCTCTCCCCACTTGATTATTTTGCAATGTGAAAGATGAAAGAGAAAGACATAAATGTCAGCAAACTAAATAGAGATGCTTAGCATACTTCTTCATCTAGTTCCCCTTGCACTTTATTTAATACATTAAAAAAGGATAAAAAGGGGGTAAAGAAAAACATCTAGTTTCGAAGTGTTCGACTAATGGTCAAGTTTGTATATGCGAGGAGGGGTAGGAAGGGAAATAGGCTGACTGTGGGGGAGGGAAATGTTATCAGCCAGCCTGTGGGGGAGAAAAATGTTATTTCTCAAACTCAGATTGCTGAGGTGTGATTCAGTTAGGGGGCTTTGTTAGAGAAAGGATTATTTAAGGAGTGAAGGCACAGAGGGGTCCATTTGTATGATTGTAGATTGTGAAATCAGACCTTGGAGGCGTAAAGTGTCCTCAAAACTCTATCGTTTTCTTTCTTCTTTCTTTTACCAGATATACTGTTTCTACTACGTCTTTCTCAACCCTCAAGAATGGAGGTTGTTTCATAACTAAAAGGAGGCCAGACCCTACTTTCTGGCTTATTCAATTTGCCTTTGATTGCACTTAATTCTCAGTGCATTGGTTAGGGACACAGGTGTGGGGGGCGCGAAAAAAGAAAAGAAAAAAGATATGGAACTGAGCCAAGTCAAATGCAAAGAAAAATAATTTTTCAGGTCTTATGCTGATCGAAGGTTCTCTGCCAGTGTCATCGATCTAATAAGGAGAAGTAGCATACCTGTCTTGACAGCTTTCTGATCTCTTGATTCAGAATTACACTGAAAAGATTCAGATCCTCGTGGTTTCTCCTGCTCATGCAATAGTAACTTGTCAGAAAGGTAGTCATGAATAAAGATTCTACAAATTTGACGCAGCATAATCACTCTGCATAAAAGGTTTCATGCCAATGAGAGAACCTGTTCATAAACTTCAATTCAATCTCATCTGCCGCACCAAATATGGACTTGCGAAACAACCTAGAATAATATGGAAGAGGACCAAAAAGTTAGAAACTAATACATTAGCATGTATACTGCATGCTAAAAATAATCATATGATCAGTATTCTTCTATGGCGGTTTTTGTAACTTGCATCAGATTTACACAAGAATACCTATCATCCCATCGAGTTAGTCGGCAAGCTAGATGTGCTATAACTTCATGCACTGTTCTCGGTGCATTATAGCCTCCAGCAGAAAGAAGTTCCTAATCAATGCAGAGCAACAAAGTTATTATTTAGTATGGCTAAAGAAATCTACACACACACACATGCAAAAAAAGTGGTCAGCAAAGTCCGTTAGCTCTCATTTTATAAGACTAAGAATGAACAACCTGAACTTCTGTAATGCCCAGCACATTTACACTTGATACATGTGCTTTTAGATGCAATACAGTTATTAGGAAGTTTTGGGCTTGCCAAGATCTAAGCACAATAGGGATGTCATCCTCATCAACATATGGATCACCAGCTGATTGTCCCAAGAGCTCAAATAACAGCCCTCCGGCAACTCTAACTGGGACCTGAAAGACAAGTGCAGTGTTACTATAATAAAAACAAAATTCCACGACAATTGAAAAGAATGAAAACAAGAAAAAATATGTCGGTTTGGAATGGAAAAAGCAACACAAACCAAAGTCCTATGAGTAATACCAACGAGAGAGTGACAAAACCTCATCAACTAGATGCTCACTTTCAGAATTGCAGCATACATTCTATTTGGCACTTGGCCTAATATAGCACCAGACGATTGGAAAGCATATATGTCCAATGCAAAGTTAGTCTATACTATCAGAATATCAGAAAAAGAATAGTTAATTGCTTATTTCCCTAAGTAACACTAAAGTAGCTAACAACTACACATACTTTATTGGACTCTATAGATAATGGGTCATTCGATATTTTTAAACCAATGGGCCTGTTTGTTACCGTTTTTGTTTTCATTTTTCACGTTTTTCGAAGCAAAAAATTGAAAACAGAAATGAAAAACGCGTTTGGGGAAGTTTGTGTTAGAAAACAAAAACAAAAACGTTTTTGTCTTTTTGTGAAAAACTGAAAACGAAAAAAATACGTTTTCATTTTCACGTTTTTGTTTTCTAAAAACTGATTTCAGTTTTTTTTTTTTTTTCTTCTCTCTCTTCTCCAGCCGAAGAAGACGCCGGAGAACACCACCGTCGCTCATCCAACCGGCGTCTGCAGCTGCGC